TTTTTAAAAATAAAATCCTTTTCTCTTGTGCTGAGGAACTACTTCCTGGCTATTTTTCCTGTCTACACAAATAGTTCTCTAAACCTAAAATCCAGTGATGTCCTGCCTCATTTAAATGCTTATATAGGCAATGGTCCTCGCCTATAATCCCAGCAATTCAGGAGGCTGAGGTGGGAGGATCATTTGAGGCCAGGAGTTCAAGACCAGCCTGGGTAACATAGAAAGACCCCATCTCTAAAAATAATTTAAAAAATTAGCCAGGCATGGTGGCTTGAACCTGTAGTCTCAACTACTTGGGAGGCTGAGGCAGGAAGATCCCTTGAACCCAGAAATTCAAGGTTGCAGTGAGCTATGATCACACCATTGTTCTCTAGCCTGGGCAACAGAGCAAGACACTGTCAATAAATGAATGCATGAATGAATAAATAAATAAATACTTGTTTGAGAAGGTGCAAATATCCCTGAAAAATAGGTTGGAAGTAGGTGCTGAGGCGGTCCATTACAGTATAGAAAACAGGCTTTGGAGCTAGACCTGAATACAATTCTAGCTCTGCCACTTACAAGCTGTAGGAATTCAGACAAATCTTTTTCTCTCTCTAATCCTGTTTGCTTATTTGTAAGAAGAAAGGGGGTAGACAGAAGTAATAGCAATTTCGTAGGGCTGTTAGGAGAAGTGAGCAAAATTTTTAAAATGTCTAGCCAGCACTCACAAAGTTGCTTTCTGAGGAACTGTTAGTGTTTAAAACACACACACAGAACCTTACCTACTTTCTGGAAGTTAATAGTGAACAGTTAAAGGTGGCAGATACAACCAAAGAAGGTCGTATCACATTTCTCAGTATGTGCCAAAGACCACCTACATAAGAGTCACCTGGGACGCTTGCTAATACTCTATTACTGAGCCCCTCCCTCCCTCTGGGACTACCCAATCAGAATTTTAAGCTCCCCCACATAACTCTTACGCACACCTAACTTTGCCATATTACCTCTCAGAGCTCTTCGTGAATGACCTTCGGTGACTGGTTTGCACACTGTAGTAGATAGCTAAATTTGAAACCATATTTTGGCCTATGTTGTGCTAAAACACTTTCTCTTGGCAGGTGACATGAAATGGCAGAAGCTAAGCCCCACTGGGGCTGCTCCAGCAGGCTGTGCTGCCCACTCAGCTGTGGCTGTGGGGAAACACATATACGTCTTCGGTGGAATGACTCCCACTGGAGCACTGGACGTGATGTATCAATATCACATAGGTGAGCAGGTGTCACTCTGGGGTCTTTAAACAAATGTAAACATTCTTTGAAAAGTGACACAGTGCTTTGGTTTTTCAGTTTTGTTGCTCCATATTCTAAATCCAAAGATATGAAAACTAAACTTGTAGGGAATGACATAATTAAAGCAGTAACACTGCCATTAGGTTTTTTCCTCTTATTTTCTGTAAATCAGCTGATATAGTAAATCACTGAGCATTTCTGGAAATTTAACATGGAGCCTTTGTTTTTTCCCCTAACATAGAAAAGCAGCAATGGACCTTGCTTCAGTTTGATACTTTCCTACCCCCTGGACGATTGGACCATTCCATGTGTGTCATTCCATGGCCAGTGATGTGTACTCCTGAGAAAGAAGATTCAAATTCTGTCACTCTGAACTGTGAAGCTGAGAAAGGGAATTCAGCCAACAAAGGAGTAACCCAGAGAGGTGACTCACGTGAGGAAAGCCAGACTGATGTGTTGCTCTGTTTTGTGTTTGGTGGGATGAATACAGAAGGGGAAATCTATGATGATTGTATTGTGACTGTAGTTGACTAATAAAACCTACACTTTTATTCTGTCAGAAAAGTAAAACCTTAGCTGTTTTATACCTGTAAAATATTTTCTGCACTATATATCCACCTTGCTCTTATCTACTTTTTTTAATTTCAAAATATTATGGGGGTACAAATGCTTTGGTTACGTAAATTGCCTTTGCATCGCTGAGTCAAAGCTACACACATGCCCATCCCCCAGACTGCACACTGCACCCATTAGGTGTAAATTTACCCATCCCATCCTCCCCCTGCAGCTGCCCAATCCCCACTCTGATCTACTTTGGAAGGTAAAAAAATGAACTAGATAGTTCAGTACAAATACCTCTATTATAGTATAAAGGGTTTTACCAGCAATACAACCTAGGTAAGTGTGATTGGTCACATTAAATACTACTCATAAAAAGGTTACAGTAGAGTTAGGGTTTACAAAAAGTTTGCAAGGCTGGGCACGGTGGCTCATGCCTGTAATCCTAGCACTTTGGGAGGTTGAGGTGGGAGGATTGCTTGAGGTCAGGAGTGAGACCAGCCTGAGCAAGAGCCAAAAACAGAAAAATTAGTCAGGTGCGGTGGTGGTAAATGCCTGTAGTCCCAGCTACTTGGGAGGCTGAAGCAGATCACTTGAGCCCAGGAGTTTGAAGTTGCTGTGAGCTATGATGACACCACTGCACTCTAGCCAGGGAAACAGCGTGGGACCCTGTCTCAAAAAAATTTAAATTTGTAATAAAAATGTTGCAGAATAATTGCTAGACAGCATAAGCTATAGACATCAGAGTGGATATTTGCCAGTCTTTTTAATATTCAGTAAGTGCCAGGCGCAGTGGCTCACACCTGTAATCCTAGCACTTTGGGAGGCTGAGGTGGGAGGATAGCCTGAGCCCAGGAGACAAGCCTGAGCAAGAGCCAGACCCTGTGTCTACTAAAAACAGAAAAATTAGCCAGGCAGGGCATGGAGGCGCATGCCTGTAGTCCCAGCTACTTGGGAAGCTGAGGCAGGAGCATTGCTTGAGCCCAGGAGTTGGAGGCTGCAGTGACCTATGATGATGCCGCTGTACTCTAGCTGGGGCAACAGAGCAAAACTGTGATCTCCAGGAAAAAAAAAAAGAAAAGAAAAATTTCACCTTTCAGACAGTTGCCCATCTATAAAATACCTATCCTTGGGCAGTATTGGATTTCATGTTAGCACCAGAGAGCCTGCCCTTTATTGATCATACTAATTATTCACCTAGACCATCCCTTTCCTCAGGAAGCCAATCTAAGTAATCTTAAACCTGCCTTTGACCCACAATCACAGTGGAGTTGTATAGTTTCAATGTCACCATCCTAAATCCCACCCTAGTGCCCCTAATGAGGTATTTCAGGGATGGAGATTCTGACACAGCTAGGGTTCAAAACGTATCTTTACATCCTAAAATTATAAAATCCAAGTGTCTAAAGTTAACATTGGTGATTGGGTCACTCTACCAATTCTCGTGAGAATCCAAGCAACTATAAACATCATTAGTAATAAAAAGCTACCATAAAGGCAGTTTTAGAAAGATTAGGGGAAATAGGAAATTTCAAGTTATGTTCAAGAAAACTCTACTTAGTCGGGGGTGGTGGCTTACGCCTGTAATCCTACCACTCTGGGAGGCTGAGGGGGGAAGATTATTTGAGCTCAGGAGTTTGAGATCAGCCTGACGAAGAGTAAGACCCCATCTCTACTAAAAATAGAAAAAAAATCAGCCAGGCATGGTGGCACATGCCTATAGTCCCAGCTACTTGGGAGGCTGAGGCAGGAGGATCGCTTGACCCCAGAGTTTGAGGTTGCTGTTAGCTATGCTGACACCACAGCACTCTAGCCCGGACAACAGAGCAAGACTCTGTCTCAAAGAAAACTCTCTTGGGTACTCAAGTGTCCTCTAAGGTGAACTCCTCTCCCCTTTTCTTAGGCTAATTAAGGCTACGCAAATTCCCTGCAAGTGCTGAATAGAAATGTTTCCTTACCCCAACATTCCAAACCTTTCCCTCTCTCAAACAGGAGTGTGCAGCACACACGAGAATCAAACCTTAAATTTTAGTTAACCTTCCTAATAGATGATTGATCTAATTAGAAGCTTTTCACAAAAATTAGACCAGTGTAAATAACAAACATTTATTGGTGTCACTTATGGTAGAAAAAAGTTCCTACACCAGATGCACATGACCCAATTGTTAAATAGAACATATTCAAGGTGAACACACACCCTAACCCAGCTTTTTTTTTACCCTGTTTTTAAGATAGCCAATTCCTCTTCTTCCCCCACCCCATATGAGCAACTGCTAATGAAAAGCAGTAAACAGCCACTTAGGCTATAGCATTTTCAACTCCACTCTGAGGTGAAGATTCCAATTACATTCGAGACTGAAGTTCTCTCAATTTTTTCCTAACGAAAGTTCCTGAGTCCAGTATTTACAATATTACAGCACTAGGAGATCAGTGTCTACAACTCATCTTTTTCTGCTGTATCTTCTTCACCAGCTGGGGGAGGGCCTGCACTTCCATAGAGTTTGCTAATAATTGGCTGAACAATTTCTTCTAGTTCCTTCTTTTTAGCTTTGAAGTCTTCAATGTCAGCATCTTGGTGGCTTTCCAGCCATTCAATCTTTTCTTCTACAGCTTTTTCCATGGTCTCTTTATCTTCAGAGGAAAGTTTACCTCCCAGCTTTTCTTTATCTCCAATCTGATTCTTTAGAGAATAGGCATAACTTTCCAACTCATTTCTAGTATCAATGCGCTCCTTGAGTTTTTTGTCTTCCTCAGCAAACTTCTCAGCATCATTAACCATCCTTTCAATTTCTTCAGGTGTCAGGCGATTCTGGTCATTGGTAATTGTGATCTTATTTTTGTTCCCTGTACCCTTGTCTTCAGCTGTCACTCGAAGAATGCCATTCACATCTATCTCAAAGGTGACTTCAATCTGTGGGACCCCACGGGGAGCAGGAGGAATTCCAGTCAGATCAAATGTACCCAGAAGGTGGTTGTCTTTGGTCAGGGGTCGCTCACCTAGAAGTTACACACAGAAGAAAAACTTTAGTTAGTTGTTATTGACAAGCATTAGTACATCCAGATCTCTACATTTCAGTCTATTAGGGCCTAAAGTGGCAAGGGCACTTCATCAAGCTGAAAGTGACGGTATTATAGTCTATAAGGACAGCAGCTGGGACTAACAGTGAATTTCATGTTTTAAAGCACTGTGAACCCCTTTCTTGTACTTTAGAAGCCAATTCAGAAGTTATTTTTAATGGAAAAGAGTGGTAAGGAGCTAGATTAACTACTAACTCTATGAAACTTGACACTAGTCAAGGACCACCCCCATCTGAAAATAGCTACTTCTTTCCCTAGCCATTTCAATACAATATATTAAACAAGCCATGTCCTTTTAAAACATACCATGATATTAACATATATAAGTAATTACCTTCATAAACTTTGATCGTAACAGTTGGTTGATTATCAGAAGCTGTAGAAAAGATTTGAGACTTCTTGGTGGGTACCACAGTGTTCCTTGGAATCAGTTTGGTCATGACACCTCCCACAGTTTCAATACCAAGTGTAAGGGGACATACATCAAGCAATACCAGATCACCTGCAAAGGTAAGTCGATAATCAAGTTAACTTCTAATTCCAGTTATTCCCACAAACTGTAAGTTTATCTTTTCCCTCTCGCCATTTGGTTAGGTTCTAAGCACAAACATTTTACAGTGAATTAAACAGCTGGCTAAGGATCTTGAGACTGCCCCAGGTCTTGTCTTCACTATACCCTTTACTAGCTATATGACCTTGTGACTCATATTCTGTTCTTTTCCAAAGCAAAAGCTAATGATGGTTGTCTTGTTAAGCTACTGAAGCACTGTGAAAGATTTCTGTGATGACCCACCTGTATCTTGATCACCAGAGAGCACACCAGCCTGGACAGCAGCACCATACGCTACAGCCTCATCTGGATTTATGCCACGAGATGGCTCCTTGCCATTGAAGAACTCTTTAACCAGTTGTTGAATCTTTGGAATTCGAGTAGAGCCACCAACAAGAACAATTTCATCGATATCTGACTTCTTCAAATCAGAATCCTCCAACACTTTCTGGACAGGCTTCATGGTGGACCGGAACAGATCCTAGGAATAAGATATATGGTTACTGTGATGCCTGTTATACCTAGATGTTGTCTAAATATCTAAATGCGACACGCTAAATTCAGAGAGTCTGATGAGATCTCATAAGAAAAGCAGAAAACAAGGAACATACCATGTTCAGCTCTTCAAATTTGGCCCGAGTTAGGGTCTCAGAAAAGTCTTCTCCTTCATAGAAGGACTCGATTTCAATTCTTGCTTGATGTTGAGAAGACAGGGCCCGTTTGGCCTTTTCTACCTCACGCCGGAGTTTCTGCACAGCTCTATTGTCTTTCCTAACATCTTTGCCTGTTTTCTTTTTGTATAGCTTGATGAAGTGTTCCATCACACGCTGGTCAAAGTCTTCTCCACCCAGATGAGTATCTCCATTAGTGGCCACGACTTCGAAGACACCATTGTCAATGGTGAGAAGAGACACATCGAAGGTTCCACCACCCAGGTCAAATACCAGGATGTTTTTCTCCCCCTCCCTCTTATCCAGGCCATAAGCAATAGCAGCTGCTGTACTGTTAGGAGAATGCAAAAGGAAAAAGCTTGGTCAACAGCTCAGATCTCACCTATTTGGCAAACATGCTACATCCCTGAATTTCACACTTACGGCTCATTAATGATCCTCATAACATTCAGTCCAGCAATAGTTCCAGCATCTTTGGTTGCTTGGCGCTGGGCATCATTGAAATAGGCTGGTACAGTAACAACTGCATGGGTAACCTAAAAGAATAACAAAAGTATATTCTGTCACATGTTTAACCCTTATTTAAAATACAGTCAAACCATTACTTTAGTTTCTAAGCCAGTTTATTGATGAGTGTATGTATGTAATTTTATGCCCATGAAATTGCAAGGATTAAGTGATAACACACGAAAATTGTATAGT